CAAAACACAAGAGATCAAAGTGTCAGAGCTGATCTTCCACATCCTGTGTCAAGATGGTCTTCGGGACAGGCTGCTGAGTGTGTACCCAGAAATCAAAATGTCAGTCAAGAAAGGAAGTTTGACAGTAACTGGATTAAATGATGAGCTTTTCCAAGTAAACAAAGTTATATATGATGCAATGTTCGCATTAAAACGACAGAATTTAGAAATGGATACATTTGTGCTAGACTTCTTGAAGGCTGGAGCACTAGAGGAGCTCACAGATGCTCTCCTAATATCTAATGGAATAAATGCAGCATTTGAGATGAATGCAGACAAATTGCAGCTCCTCGCTGTTTCTGACAGAGATCTGAAAGATGCTGAAGACCATCTGAAAAGGCTGCTAATATCTCACTACATTGATGTTGAAGATAGTAATGTCCTAAAGAAGCCAGAGTGGCAGCACCTGGTCAGTCAGTCAGAGGATGCAAACAATGAGCCATGCAGAAAAATTCGAATTCACACCACTGGTCAACAAGTCGTGGTGTCTGGCCACAAGGACAATGTGCTAACAGTTAGCAGTGAGCTTGCTGACTTTTTAACACAGAATGCTCAAGTTGAAGAAACCATTGTGGTTAAGCCCAACGCCAAAGTTGAATACATTAAACGTGACAAGTCCTGTTTGGAGGAAGTGGAAGACAAAGTGGAAGTGTTTTACAGAAATGAAGCCATCTGCCTCAGTGGTTCTAGAATTGATGTCACACACTGCAAGGCCTTGGTTGAGGACTTGGTCTCTTCTCTATACTTTGACAGCTTAAAAGTAGCAAAGCCTGGAGCAAAGACTGTCTTCCAGGATAAAGAAAGTATGTGTGTTCAGTCACTCTGGAAAGAAACCGGTTGCCTGGTCCAGCTGATTGATGAGAAAAGTGGCGGACGGGATGACTTGGCCTTTAGTCAAGTACCAAAACCTGCGTACCAGCTTCAGACACCTGATGGAGTGGAAATAGCTGTTTGCAAGGCTGATCTGTGCAGTTACCCAGTGTGTGCCATCATCAGTTCTTCTACTGAGGACTTGAAACATAGCGGAGGCCTTGCACAGGCACTTTTAAATGCTGCTGGCCCTCAGTTGCAGGATGAATGTAACAAAATAATTAATGTGAGGGGACAGCTCAAGCCTGGTGACTGTGTCATAACTGATGCAGGGGGGCGGCTTTGTTGCAAAAAAGTTATTCATGCAGTGGGACCCAAGTTTAATCCCATTAAAGGCCAGAAGGTTCAGGCACAGTTAAAAAAAGTTGTTAAAGAAAGTTTAGAACTTGCTGAAAAGCACGGCTGCACCTCTGTGGCTATGCCCATCATCAGCAGAAACAAAGGCTTCTCTCTCAATTCGTGTGCGGCCGCTATCACCAAAGCAGTGAAGGAGCACTGTGATGAGAGAGATGATGGCATCCTGAAGAAAATCCATTTGGTGAACAATGACGACGGTGCTGTTCAAGCTATGGAGGCAGCAGTCAGACAGGAGTTTGGAAACAGTGGCGTTTCTCAGCCAGCTCTTCAAAGCAGTGCCGTCAAGTCTTCACTCGGAAAACACGCTACATCTTCTAGCTCTGACCAAAACTGCTTGGGTCAAGTGCAGACCAAAGAGGGCCTGAATATCACTCTTATGAAAGGAAATATTGAGGATGCCACGGTAATTTGGATGTTTTATTATCCTTTATTATAAGCAAGCAATTAGTTTAACTGTCAGGCGTTCTCACAAGAAACGAGTCAAATAGAGTATGTAGCATTAACTACTGACCCCATCCTCTAGTTGCAGAGTATCTGAATAATTCATTGTAGTGTTATGAGGCAGATTTTTTCAAACTGACTGTTGTAGCACTGTTTCTCTAAAAATGATGTCAAATGAAGAACATGCAACTGATAACTTTGTTCTGTTCTTAGACGGAGGTGACCGTGAATACTGTGTTTGAAGATCTTAACCTGACCAAAGGAGCGGTTTCCTGTGCCATCTTTAAAGCCGCTGGACCCAAACTTCAGCAGTTGGTAAATGCAAAGCAACCCGGGGGAACTGTCGGTGAGATCATTGCCACTGACGG